CAGTACACAAGGGCCACAAAATAAGAACAAGTTAAGGCTTCATGTAGCAACAAACAAAAGACAAGGAACATGGAGTGTGACCCTCGGTACAACTCCCTCCCATATGTACATAGTGCCGATCGACACTCCTTTCTCAACAACCATGCCGTTTGACATGTACCATGTGCCCCTTTGGCACCCACAATCCTCAGGAGTGCCACTCGGCACACACACTTGTGCCACTCGGCAAAATGTGTTTGTTTCTTTTGTTTTCTTCCTAATTTTCTTCATCCGTTACGAAACCAATACGGTATCAAATTAAACAACATAACACAATATCACAGCAACATAAAAATTATACCCAATAAACATAGAGTAATTTTCCACAACCAATTTATTGACAACAACCACATCTCAGTATCAATTACAACAATTAAACACAAACAAATACAAACCCAATCCCACATAAAATATGTCATGCAACCCATTAGATAGTCAGAACCCCACCCCTACCTTTGATTAGAGATTTCTCTATTCTACCGGTCAAAGTCTCTCGCCGTAGCTTCCAACTTTTGCCTCTTCTCTGTAACTTTGCAACTTCTCACGTTCCCACAAAATTCTCCAAGACTTATTCAATTAACCTAATTCTCCTTATAATTAGCTTAACCTTATAATTATTAATATTCTTATTGGGCCTAACTTTCACACTCCACCTATTACTCCATCCAACCAAATAATGAGCCCAACTAATAAACCTTATATATTATTCTAATATCTATATTAATATTATTGTTAATATTAATCAACTAATTAATTAAATATCAACCAAATAACAACTTAGCAGCTTAAATCAGCATTTCTCGACATTTTGCAAATTCAACAATTTCAACAACATATTCAACCATTAATCCGTAATTAATTTAATTAATTAATTAATTAAATTAACGGGCGTTACACAAGGCATGTTGTGTGCCTCGAGCTACGTGCCTTGCTGCATGTGTGATGACAACTGGTATAGGAAATAGGTTTAATGATGGCTGAAACGGCTATGCATTTCCCTAGGCGCGTGCACATGTTCCTATTTTCTCTAGGGTTTATAAATAGGGGAGAAGGGGAAACATTTATAAAAGTTTCTCATTTTCTCTTCTCGATTTGCTCTCGACTTCTTACAATTATGCTGTCGTCACTGCCATCATCATTGCCACCGAAGTATTTTCGTTTGACACCTTTTTCGCCAATCAAGTAAGCTTTTCTACTTGCTCCTGATTTATGTTTTTGAATCTTCCTGGATGCTAGTTCACGCATGTTTTGTAGGCTTTGATTTAGTGAATTGTTGGTGTTTGGTGGTGGCTAATGTAACACCTCGATTTAGTTAGAATTAATTTATTTAAAATAATTAGATGAGGTGGTGTATTTTATGCGTTGGTGAATTTTTGTGATGTGTTGTGATGTAAATTGCGAGAATTAGAGGCTTTAGAAACTATACAAGTTAAGATGATGGGGGTGTATGACCAAAAGTGTAGAGATGTAAGGGGTGCGCTGAGATAAACATAATTTACTAGGATTATTATATTATAATATTATGTTTATTATTGTAGTAATATAATTAAATGATTATTTAATTGAGTAAGGGCATAATTAGTATTAAGTATTAGGGGTCTAGAGATTATTATTATTATTATTATAATTATTAGAAAAATAAGGACGTGAGAACATAAGGAGAAAAATAAAGCGATCATAGAACGAGAGAAGAGAATAGCTAGGGCAAAAAGGATTCCACAACTTTTGGAGGATCAAAGCTTCAAATTAAGGTAAGGGGGTGAATGAGTTCTCTTAATGGTGGTTATAATATGAGAGGATAGTGAGGGTTCTTTTCCCTCTTTAGGTTTTTTGCATAATTGATGTATGATTTCTCTTTGTTTTGATTGATTGATGTTGTTGTGTATGATTCCACATGGAATTGTGAATTTTTTGGTGTTAAATATTGTAGTTGTTGTTGATAATTGTTTTTGTTGTAATGTTGTTTCCATGGAACCCCAATCTAGGAATTATAGGTTAGGAACATGACAAACAATGAGGATTTAGAGGTGAAAAATTGTTAAAGGTTGATAGATCAATGAGGTATAGAAAGTGTACAAGTTGTTATGTGTAAAATACAGTTTTAAACTAGAAATTGGAGGTTATAATTGCACAAAATTGGATTGGTTTATGCAGGAAATTACAATAGGAAAATCTTGTTCACGCAAGATCATCGGGTGACGAAGGATGTGTCATCGGGCGATGGATTTTCTCCAGACGAATGAGGAAGCGACGAAGAGGTGAAAAGATGGATGTTTCTGTAATGCGTCGCTTCTAGCGTCATCGGGCGAAGGTTGACTTAAAAGTAGCATCGCCGGGAAACGGAGGGTGTCGATGGGCGATGGATGGCAGATTCGGATGACCGTATAATTTTTCTTAAAAATGTCATAACTCGAGTTTTATAACTCTGATTGATGCATCGTTCGAAGTGTTGGATAGTTAATGAAACAAACTACATTTAGGTGGAATAAAACGAGTAAAATAATGGGTACTTACAATACTTAGGATAAGGTAGAGTTAGATTATTATGAGATAGGATAGACTAGGATGTGCGCTATGATGAATTATGGATACTATGACGTATGTGGCATGATGTTGATGATCTTGGTGGCCTAGATTAGCATATTATTGAAGGCTTATGCCTTATGGTTGCATAATTCATATTGTTGCATGTTGATGTTACATGCATTTCATCGGTGAGGGATTATGCTATGTTGTTGGCCTGTAATGACGTTACGTTGAGGGCTTATACCCTGTCGTTTCCCAATTGGCACTATGTTGGGGACTTATACCCTGATGGTACCACAAGAATTGAGTTAATGTTAGTCTTATTGCATTTAATTATTAATGAATTGATGTTGTATGATGTGAATGATGTGTTGCATTATGAAGTGTTATGTGATGTGTTAATTATGTGGATTAATACTCCTTAGCATATGATATTCACCATGATTTATTGAATGTAATTCTCACCCCTTTTGTATTGTTGTGTTTGTACTCTTCAGGAGTACAAATAATCAGGTACCCGAATAGTGCTTGAAGAGAGTGTTACCTGATTGAGTCATATGAGTCACTCTGATATGTAACACGAGATTTGGGAATTTGTTATATTTTCATATTTTTTTATTGTTATGTATTATACTTTAAGCTTTTGATGGACCACATGTTTGTGGAGTTTTATTATTGTTAAGGCTTGATGCCATGGAAGAGAATTAATTTGATTATTCCGCTGCTGAATTAATTATTATGAATAAATGGAGTAATAAAGTGATTTGAGACCCTTTATGAAAATTTTAATTATGTGACATCCTATTGTGCAAACTCTTATATATTTCATGTATGTTGTTATGACTATTCTTATGGGAAAATGGAGTATTACAGTTAAGCCATTTTCCAAACGCCGACCGCCATTGAGGATATGGGTTTCGCGGTGAATCGTGAATCTCATGAGTTTTCTGATGAATCTTAGGAAATTTCCGATGAGTCTCATGAAGTTCCTGATGAATCTCATGAAGTTTCCGATGAGCTTCATCCGATGATCATATCCCACTTGTCTAGGAGTTTATTCCCTGTGGGTTTTGATGTTTGGCTTTGTCGTTGAGTCTTTAACCTCAATGTTACCAAAATGCTGGTCATGGGGGTATCTCCCCAACTTCATAGTTATCGGTTGAGGTCGTCATCCTCGCGCCTTCTGCATCCTTTCACTTGATTTGCGGTGGAAGGATGAATTTGATTTAATCACTGAATTCACTGTTTTCCTCTGCTTTTCAAGTTAAAGTGGCCCATAATGACGAGGATAATGATACAATCATTGTTCTTGACCTGACTTGGGTCGGGGAGGAGCCCCGAGAACATGCTTAGCATTTTTCTCTTTACTTGGAAGAAGCTTTTACCTTCGTGGGGGAGGATGCTAGTCGCGCGGAATCTGAAGGAAACTGGGCGGTTGCTGGTGGCGGTAAAGCGACAAGCAAAAAGTAAGTTATTAATTTATCGAGTGATATAGGTTATATCGTATCGTGTCCATAGAGATTGGTGAATTGAAATTTCGTTCGACAAATCTCTCGTTAATGGTTTGGGAATAAACCGATTCATTTTAATCGATAAACTGATTAAACCGAATCTGACTAAACCGATTACAAATTCAGTCAGAATTGGGCCTAAGTATTGCATCTATGGTTTCAAACGGTTTGACATATTGGGCCCGAGTCCAACTCAAATTGATCCTTGTTTAGCCCTAATATTTACATTTGAAAGAGACTAAAAAACCCCAACAGAAAAGATTCATATCAACATATGTATCTTTCTATACAACATACATATTTGTTGATAAATTAAATTCTATACCGAAATAGTCGAAGGTATGATAAACTATGTTATGGTAATTCTAGATCTAGACTGCATAAGAAAACAATAAGATAAAACAATTTTTTTTTCATTGATTAAAACTAACTGCACATACACAATATATATAGCTAGGGTTTCTAAAACTAAATGAGTCATGGGTCACTTGACAAAAAATAAAACTTAATAAAAAATATTAATAACACTTCTAATTTATAATATAATCTTTTAATAAAATTGATGACTTTCTTTCTCTAATGGACCGTGCCTTTTGTGTAACAATACTCCCCGGTCCAAAAGGAGCCTTGTCTTCAAGGTTCATAGAAAAAAAATTTTTTAGCTGAATATTTTGTATTGGGCCTGACCCTATAGGCAGCATGGGTCCACATGTGTGAGGAGAAGAAAAAAAGTCGTTGGTATTTGGGTGAGTGGCATTGGGAAACGGTGCAAGGTGTAAAGGTGAGTCTGAGGCAGCTGTTCCCAAGGGAGAAAGAAAACACATGCGTGTTGGAGGTAGCGGGACAGGTGTCTATTGAAGAGGGACGTTGGAAAGTGGAAGGGTACGATTGGAATTTGGCTCTTGATATGTTGGATTAAGAGAGTTACACGGTACCAAAGTGACATTTTGTACTTACGTTTCTCTTTCTTGTACTTGCGTCCTTTGGCCGCACCTCATCTTCATAACTTCCACTTGTCACAAATGAAACCCAATCGTCTTCTTCCTCTTGCAAAATCGTAGTACCAGCGGACTGATTTGGTTTTGCTGTCTGAGTTGGATATGTGTAAGGAATGCAGTCCGGAGGTGGAAGAGAGGTTAGATATGTCGCAGGGGTGCTTCCATGATAAGGTTTTAGAAGAGATACATGGACAACTGGGCGTATACGTGATGAAGATGGAAGTTCCAGGTGATACACCACATATCCAACCCTTTTGATGACTCTGAAGGGACCAAAATACCTCCGTGCGAGTTTCTGAGAAACGCGATGAGCAACAGTGATCTGTCGATACGGCTGAAGCTTTAGCCACACAAAATCGCCTTCCTGAAAGGTAAAGTCTCGACGGTTTAGATTATCTTTTTTTCTTTCCATTTTGATCTTACCCTTTTAGATGATGTTTTAACTGCGAAAGTATGCGTTGTTGATTTTTCAGAGTCAGATCAATAGATTCAACGTTAGTGGAGCCATGTACATAGTCAAGGAGCCTAAGAGGGTTACGTCCATACAACGCTTTAAAGGGAGACTTGTTGAAGGTGGAGTGAAACGAAATGTTATACCAATACTCTTCAAGATGAAGAACTTTTTACCAACTGCGAGGGTGATCCCTAACCAGACAACGAAGGTATGTTTCTAGTGACCTATTCACTACCTCTGTTTGGCCGTAGATCTCCGAATGGTGTGTGGTGCTGTATTTTTGGATCTCGGTCTGAGACTATATATTTTGGCAACCCATGGAGGCGCAACACTTCAGCAGCAAAGCGGGATGCCAAAGCCTTTGCAGAAAACTTAGTAGGCAAAGCGATGAAATGCACAAACTTGGTTAAATGATCACAAATTACTTAGTTGCTGGTGTGATCGAAAGAGTTGGGCAAATGAGTTATGAAATCCATGGTAAGTTCACTCCAAGCTTTACTAGGGATAATAAGAGGCTGTAGGAACCCTTTTCTTTTCCGTGTATCATATTTATTTTGTTGGCATTCTTGGCATTGTTTAACCAAGGTCTGAACTGCTAGGGAAATTCCAGGCTAACAAAAGGAGGATCGTAATCTTGCAGAGTGTTGCTTTAACCACTGGATGACCCTCCCTTGGGGTGTTGTGAAACTCAAGAAGCATTTGTTGACGCAATTGTTCCAAATCATGTATAAAAATTTTGTTTAATAGTAAAGGATACCATTAGCAAAACGAAAATCCTTATGCTGTATGTTTTGCTGAACTAACTGAATTCCAACACTGTCATATGCATAAGATGTCCTGAATATGGTCATAAGTTGCAGAACTGGGGAAGACAAAACCAGGAGCAAGGAATTCTCCTCATGAAACTTTCTACTCAACGCGTCCGCCCCAGTACTCCCCAGTACTCGACTTGTAAGGTTTGTAAAATATCTCAAAATTAAAACCCTGCAATTTAGACGTCCATTTCTATTTTTCTGGAGTTTGAATTCTTTGTAGTTATAGATTGCGCAGACTTTTCTGATCAGTAAAAATCTGATACTTTTGACCTATGAAGGTACTGACGCCATTTCTTGACTGATTCAGTGATAGCAAACATCTCGCGAACATACAATGAAGAGGACAAGGGCACATCTTTTTGCTGAAGCTATCAGATGACCATTATGAGATAACACGACACCAATGGCCACACTGGAATCGTTTGTCTCAATTGTTAAAATCTTTCTAAAATCTGGTAGAACCAAGACCTTTATGTCAGTCATCTTTTTGTAGTTCTGTAAAGGCTGTTTCATCCTCTGTACTTCATTTGAAATTAGTGGAATGTAACAAATTGGTGAGAGGTGCGGCAAGAGTGGCGTAGTTCTTCACAAAAAGTCTTTGAAAACTGGAAAACTGGCGAGGCCGAGGAGGTGGCCAATCCAATGGCTTTTATATTCTTCTGGATCTGGTGGAACACCCTCATCTGAGATCACATGTCCCCTAGATAATCAATTTGTCTTACAGCAAAAATACACTTAGATAAGTTGACATAAAAAGAATGAGTTGCTAATAACTCGAACACCACCTGTAAATGTTGTAAATGATCACTAAAGTTCGAACTATAAATGAGAATATCATTTAATAAAACCAACGCTGATATCCTTTAATAAGGGTAGAATTGTAAATGAGAATATCATGAAATAAAACCAACACAAATTTTATTAAATAAGGGTGGCAGATTGAAACTCGGAAGATGCAACTTGGATCTGATGATAACCATAACATAAGTCTAACATTATGAAAATAGTGGTTGAACTCAGCTCATCTAAGAGCTCTCCGATAGTAGGGTAGGGAAACGATCTTTGATTGTGACTAGGTATAATTGTGCTTTATTGCAACATTTCTTGTATGATTGTGGGTATCTGGACGGTTTTACATTCACGAAGAGGGTGTTTGAGATAAGGTTAGTACGATGGTCAAATTGTTTTTTTGTGGTAGGTGGGTTGCCTAAATGGGTTAAAGTAATGGAAGGAATGGAAATATGCTTGTATAAGGCCTAGGGTGTGCAACAATGCCATCCCTAGAACAACATGAACACCTTCAATTGGTAGTAAGTAAAAGGGAATGGTAAAAGGTCGGTTTTGGAGGTTAAGTTGAACATTATTCTAAATTCCAACATATTGTAAATGAGAATCATTTCCTGTTATGACAGAAAATTATGGAATTGGTGGCTGTATGATATTATGAGTGCTGTCTGTATCAATTAAAATCATAGTTGAAAGGCCACCAATGAATCCTTTGAGTTTCAGGGTTTGAGGCGCAAAAACAGGAAAGATGATTGAACAAACTACTTTCAATAAAGGAAAATAAGAGTTGTTATTGACTTTTCTTTTATCCAATAAAGGAAAGGGTGAAAAGAACATGAATGACATTTGAAGAATTTTCTTGAGTTCGGAGGATAGGTTATGAAAAGGAAATATGTTAGCACCATTTTCATCTGTAGTTATCTACGAGCTCTTAGTTGTTAGCTCACTTTGAAATGTTTTGTTTGAAATGTGTTTGTGATGTTTTTGAAAGTGTCTTTTTTTTAGGCGAATTTTGTAATAATTCTCGTCTCTAGAAGAATGTATACAAAGTGTTGACTTTTGAGGATATTTCATTTAAAAGTGTTTGTGTCTGAAAGATGTTTTTGAAAATGATTGTAAGCCAGCAATTAAGAACGTTCTACCTACTCAAAAAGTCTTTCTTCATTTCCTCCTCCTTTAGATATTGCTATCTTACCATTGATTGATAAGAATTCCTATCATTGGATGTGAAGGGACAGACGTGAGTCGTCGTATAGTCATAGAAGACAATATTGTAGGATATCTTAGCCATTTGTCGTAAAGGTCTCAGATTATTTTATCGAAGCCAATATCGAAAGGTCATCGAGGTACTACGATCTTGTATTCGAGGGTCATTGCTAAAGTATTTCATGTTCGAGGGACATGAATGTTTTAATTCGAGGTAACACGTGTGAGTTCCCCTAGAGGTGTAAGTGTGTAAAGTGTATTATTTTTATGCATTTGTCTTGAATTTAGGGTTGTCTACTTATTAATTTTAAATCTTTCCATACAAACCTTAATTACTAGCAACAATATTCAAAGCGATAAATTGCGGAAATTAAAAGTCCTACGCTATTATATCACTTTAGAGGATGAGTGCCATACAAATTTATAAATGGGGAATGAAAGCAATTAAACTCTAAGTCATTATTATAACCATATTGAATAATGAATAACAATAAAAATATACAGAAATATAAAGATAATGTAAAAAAAAAACTATTTTAGGAAAACTTTTATGTATTGACACATGCACTTACGCATTGATACATAAATTTTTTTATGCATTGACACATGCATTTATGCATTGGCTCGTATATGTTTTGTGTCGGCACTTGCACTTATGCATCAATGTATATCATTCCTTGCTCCTGAAAATCAAAACCAATTCAGTATAAGTCGATACATAAAGATTTGTGTCGGCTCATAACCTGTTTTGCATCGACACATGCGCTTATGTATCGATACATATCATTTCTTTGCTTCTGGAAGTCAAAATTAACTCAGTATGAGTCGACACATAATGGTTTGCATTGACTCATTTCTATCACGTGTCGATTCATTTGTGTTTTGTATCGACTCATAACATGTTTTGTATTTAGTATGTGTCGACTCATAGAGATACGTATTGACTCATACTGTTGTTTTTTACTTCTAATATTTTTCTGCTGCATATATGAGTTAGTTTTCAACACATGGTTAATGAAAATGAAAAATAAACATATAGTTAGCTTCAGGACAATGATATCTACATTTTATCTTCACAGATAAACCACTAATGATGCTTGTATGAAGAGTTCAAAGTCAAGAAAACTTACCTTAAAGCTGAAATTTGTGTTTTTATTTAGAGTTGTTGTATTGTCTTGGAGAAGTCAAGTGGCTATTTTTGAGTTCGGAGAATGGTGATAGTAATGTTATAGAAGTTGCTCTTGTGTTTGGATAACTTTTATATGATGTATATGAAGTATGTGGATGGTTTGTTTGGACAGAAATGCAAGGTTTGAGAGATTTGAAAATTTTGGTTTCTAAGCTTAAGAGTGGAGGTTTTATAGACAACTATGGTTTTTTTGAGAGTATGAGAGGTTTTGAGAAACTTGTCTACACAACCAAAACTTTCGGCCCTTTAGCTTGCAAATGGCCTCTCTATTTATATAGAAGGTTTGAGAGAGTGAGAGAGTTTGTTTCACAAGCTATGAAAATTCTGGTTTGGTTGAGATGAAACAACTAAGTTATGTGAAGTTTGAGGTTCCAATGCATGGTACAAAAGCGATCTGAAGTAGCTAGGAGTTTTTTAGGCATGTTGCTTCTTGCTTTGACATTGTGTGTGCAGAAAAATAGTTGAGAGGCTAAAGGTGAGCTGACTTTGTATAAAGCATGCTTTATGTGAATGATAATGATGCCTTTATGCCATAAATGGAATGATGCAATGGGCAATACTTGAATCACTTGGATAATGGTTCAATCAGTTATGTAAACATCTTATTATGAATATATTTGCAAGTCAAAAGGCCTGCAAAGTAAGATTTTACAGCATGACATAAGGATTTTGTTATATGTTCCTCAACAAAATGACTTGCAATTCAAGAATGGATGTCTATTTTCATGCCCTTGAATTTCCTAGCTCAAGTGTGATAAATTCATGCTCTTCGATGTTTTGAAAAGCTTGAAACGTTGTCTACAACTTTTATTTTCACCACTTCGGCTAAATCATCTTAGAAATATGTGAAAAAATACCAAAAAGTTGGGATATAATCCTGACCAAAATCTGTTGAAAATTTCTTTAAGTGTTGGATGAAAATTGCATGACTTCATAAGCTTATATCTTCAAATCTAAGCGTGTTTTGGACATCAATCCTCTAATACAAAGTTGTAGAATTCATCAAGATCTACAACTTTTATGTTAAAAGTTTTCTTTGAATCATCCTACATCTTGATGAAAAATTGCATGAAATAATGAAATTATCATGTATAAAAACACTTAGAAAAATTTCCAAGTCTTGAAAACTTTGACTTTTCAAATTGACTTTTGACTTTCTTGATTTCTTGATGGTCAAGTTTCATATTTTTGAATGTATTGATGAATTGTGATCTTTGAAATTAAATTTTGACCGAAAAGTCAAAGTTTGACTTTTGTTGTATCAGTTGACTTTTCATAAGTTGACTAAATTTCAACTATCAATCCACTGATCTTGAGAAATGATTTAAGCCATGGAATTGGATCAACATGTACTTGAATCTTTGAGATCATGTTTCAAACCAATAAGTCATGTACTAGGTCAAAAGTCAAAGATTGGTCATTCTCAGTCAAAACTCTAATTTTGACTATTTTGCCCTTTTGATGATTTGAACAATTTTCTTGGAGAATTGTGAACCAATCTTGATAAAATGATACAAATGACTTCAAAATATTGATATTGGTCTAAAATCTTGAAGTTTGACTGTAGGTTGATCATATTTGACTTTTTATCCAATACAACTGATTTTAGGTCATTTGATCAATTGACTGAGCAATTTTTGTGATCCAAGACTTGAAATTTGACATGAACAATCTTGAGGGTCCATAATGATCCATGAAAGTCATTTGAAGTATTAGAAGTCCAACTGTCCTTATGAAAATAAAAAATCATAATATGAGACATCAGTGTTTAGGAGATGGTTTGACTTAGTCAACACTTGTGTAAACTTGAACTATTGGAGATCTTTGTGAAAATTTTTTTAAAAAAAAAGAGATAACAAATTTTAAAGTACAACATAGTCTCTTGAAAAAAATAAGTGCCGGAACACATAGGTGCATATTTACCAATTTCAGAAAAATTAACAAAAAAATTTGGATGCACTAACACTTGGATTTTGTAACTTGGTAGTTAATATGAAAGACTAGCATTCTCGAAATAAGTGTATAAGACAAACTTAAGTTCTTGGAATCTAAGGATTTAGTATGGCTAAAGATAATATAGCACATAAAATAGATAAATTGAAGTCAAAGTGTTAGTTGGTTTCTCAATTGTCACTAACTAGATTTTAAAACTTGGGTTATGTAACAAAACTAATGTTTATTTGGAAAATTGTTAGTCAGTGATGAAGAAGGTCAGAATGTAGACCGGAATGAATTAGCTGCCTTTTATGTTTGCTGCCTTTGGCGACTTTAGGCTATTTGCTAGAAGAATGAGTTATTATTTATTAAGAGAGAAAAATTGATTTAGAGAGAG